CCCCGTCCCCATCCTCATCCCTATCGCCACCCTCATGCCCATCCTTATCCCCAGCCCCATCCCAATCCTTGTCCCCATTCCCATCCCTGTCACCATCCTCATGCCCCTCATCCTCATCCCCATCCCCATCCCTGTCCCCATCCTTGTCCCCATCCCCATCCTCATTCCTATCCTCATCCTTGTCCCCATTCCCATCCCTGTCCCCATCCTCATCCCCATCCCCATCCCTATCCTCATCCTTGTCCCCATCCTCATGCCCCTCATCCTCATCCCCATCCCCATCCCCATCCCCATCCCCGTCCCCATCCTTGTCCTTGTCCCCATCCCCATCCCTGTCCTCTCCAGGCTCCTCCCCAGTCCAGTCCCCTCCTGTTGGACCCTGCCCTGCCCCGGCTTTGCCCAGCTCACCCCAGAGCCAGGAGCCCAGCCTTGCTGGGGCCACAGCACAACCAACCCATGCACAACACCCTGCCTGGGGACAGTTTAGTTTCCACCCTGGCCCTGTGCTGGAGTGGGCTGTTCAGGTGGGAAGCAGGCAGCCAAGGGAGGTGACTCCCCAGCTCTGCAGCAGGAACGTCCCTGCAGGGTGCCAGCTCGGGGACGGTAGTGGCCGTGTGCCCTCCAGAGGCACCCAACACCCACCGGTGCTAGGGGCGCAGGCCTGTGCCCAGCACGTGGGGTGCCATGGCTTGGGGCCAACCTGCAGCTGGAAGAAGCAACTCTCGGCTAACACCACCCCTCCAAACCATCCCCAGGGTGCTGGAGACATGAGCTCGGCCAGCTCCAACCCCAGTTCCTGCTTCAGGGATGGAGCTGGAGGCACCACCTGGCATGGGCAGGACACGGGCTGCAGCGGAGAGAGCCTGGTGGGTTCCAGGAAGGAAAAGGAGACAAATGGCTCTTCTCAAGGGAGAGAAGGTCTTTATTAACCACCCGGTTGATGGTGAGGAACTGGGTGGTAGTGAGGAACTGGGCAGTGGTGAGGAACTGGGTGATGGTGAGGAACCCATGGTGCCAGGCTGGGGGGTTCCCACCCAGCTTGAGGGCAACGGCTCGGAGCTGAGCCATGAGCCATGCCAAGGTCTGTGCCCTCCAGAAGCCCCCCTTGGCCCCTCGTCGCATTGGGACTGCAGTCTGCACACAGCCCAGCTGCCAGTTTAGGAGGAGGATGCTGTTGGACTGGGCTGGTGCGGGGGCATCGCCCTGCCCTGGGGGCCGTCACAGCCTGATGGCGGCAGAGGAAGGTGAGGGGCAGAAGTTGGCACTCTTTCAGGGATGCTGATGCAGAGCACATGCCCTTCTCGCCAGGTCCCAGTGCCATGGGTGCCCTCAGCCCCCCAGTTCCCTGTGTGGCGGAGCAGGGGGGGTGATCCTCCTGAGTCATGGTCTGGGCTTGGCAACAACAGTGGGGTCCTCCTGAGCCATGGTCCGGGCTTGGCACAGCACCGCCGGCGCCCCGGCCCGGGCCCCGCAGCCAGCGCTGGCCAGTGCCCGGGGCTTCTGGCTCGGGGGTCCCGCTGCCACAGGGAGATGTGCTGCTGGGCTGCAAGGGGATGCAAAGTCAGTGCCCCCTGCACCAGGGAGGACCCAGGGGTCTGGGCAGTGGTGGCAGCGGGGAACAGACCCGGAAGAGCTGGGGGTGGGTGCCCCTGGGGCTTGGCACCCCCGGGAAGGTGCAGGAGGGCTCCCGGCTGCTGGCTCACCGAACTGGCAGATGTACCGGTTTCGGGTCTTGCAGCGCTGGTCATTCCAGTTGAAGGCAGCCGACGCTTGCATCTCCACGCAGTTCCCAAAGCTGTGCCCCGGCAGGAAGGCGGTGAAGCCAGCCAGCACGGTGGCACAGCAGTGACGCCGCGCAGAGGTCGAGTGTCCTCTGGATCTGGTAGGCACTTACCCCTGGTTGTCTGGCTGCCCGAAAGCAAAGCTGGTGAAGGAGGATGGCTCGCCCATGTCCCAGCGGAAGGAAGCCTTGGATGTCTTGTAGGTGAGACCTGGGGGAGCAGGAGGTGGGGTGGGAATCTGCCCGCACCTTGGGCACCCCACACCCTGCCCACAGCCGTCACTCACCAATCCAGAAGTTCCCGGTCTCGAAATCGGTGTCTGTCACCCTGTTACCAGTCTCCAAGCGGCTGAGGTAGAAAGCCAGGATGTCCTGGACCTTCTGGTTTCTGATCTGGGCCAGCATCGCCCCTTTCTCCTGTGGGGAAGGGAGCGAGTCAGCCCCAAACATGCGGCTCAGACCCGTGCTGGGTAGTGGGGAGGTGCACTGGGGGGCTACAAGCATGGGTGGCATTTTTCAGCTGCAAAGGGTGCCCGGAGCACCCCAGGGGCTCGCCTGGCACTTTATTTTGGCTCCGTAGTAGGTGTCAGCCTCGGGGGAGACCATGAAGCAGTCGCCATCTATCCGCACGTCGCAGGCGTGGAAAGGGAACTGAATCTTCACTGGGAACACAAGCAGGTACAGGTGGGTCCCTGTGCCAGCAGAGCTGGTCCCTGGAGGACCCTTAGCCCTGCTCCAGGGGTCCCTGCTGGCAGATCAATGTTGCCACCCTGAAGCAGCACAGGTGGGCACAGACTCACTGCCGCACTCGGCTCCGCCGTAGCCCACGTCACAGAGGCAGGAGCACTCCTCCTTCCTGAACTTCCCGTGGAGGCACTGCCCGCTGCACCGCACTGTGGGCAAGATGCTGCGTTGGCTGGCGGGGGGCTCGGCAGCCCCTGCCCGCCCCAGCTGAGTTTGTGCTGCGACACCGGGGCACCGCACTGAGCTGCCCATGCTGCACCGGCCGTGCAGGCGCGTGCACTGAGCTGAGCTGGTGCATGCATGTGCTGCACCACTGTGTGCACACGGGCACTGAGCAGACCATGAATGCTGCACTGGCCATGCCCATGCATGCACTGACCCTGCGCACACGTGCACTGCACCGACACTGCACACGCATGCACTGCACTGACCTTGTGGATGCATGAACTGCACCAGCCATGCACATGCATGCAGGGCACTGTCCGTGCACACGCATGCACTGCACCAACTCTGCATGCCTACATTGCACCAGCCATGCACATGCATGCACTGCACCCATCCTGTGCACACATGCACTGTACTGGCCGTGCACACACATGCACTGCACCAACGCTGCACATGCATGCGCTGCATCAACCCCGTGCACGCACGCACTGCAGCGGCCATGCACAAGTGAGGGGAGGCGGGGGTCGTGCGGGTCCCCTCTCACCTTGGCAGTACCTGCCCGTGTAGCCGGGGGGACAGGCGCACTGGCAGCTGCTCATGTCGAGGCGCCCGCTGTTCCTGCAGCTCATGCGGCAGGGGTTCCTGGGCACC